TCCTTGAATATTTGAGCCAATCACAACACATTTTCAAATATTTGTTTTCCATTACTTTAAGGACTTTCAGATTGAAAATTTTTCCATTTCTTTATGAAGGAAATTTTCCCCTTTAATGTTTAGACTGTCCACAATTTTAAGAAACCTAGAAAACTTTACATTTTGGTTGTTCAACAAGTTATAATGTCTCACCTCCCTTTAAACTTATGGATACTCCAGTTTTTTAAAAGTATTTTTGAATATATATTTTTTTCATTGTGTGAGTTTCCTGGGTTTTTTGTTTGTTTGTTTTTGGTAGGGGGGGAGGGAACAGAGTAGCCCAGACTGGCCTTGAACTCCCAATCCTCCTGCCTCTGGCTGTGGAATGTTAGGGTCATAGATAGGCATGTGTCACCACACCCAGCTTTCATTGTTTGAATTTTGCTAGCCATTTCTTGGCTAATGTTTTTTAAAACACAGAAAAAATGTAGAAAGTAATTTAAGAAATGCCCATAATCCATCCTAGAATTTATCTCTTAGCTTTTAACCAGCCCATTTTGATGCATTTTAAGGATTTCATGTTTGTGTTACAATTATGAACAAGACTTCCAAGTATCTAAATATAGAATTTTAGTACTTATCTTTATGAGGAAAATTTTTACTGTACAGCTTTGCTTATTTTTAATAGAATACCCCTAAATCTTTTATGAAGGGAAGAGATAGAGGTTTGGTCTTATGCATTCAGAAGGATTTATTTTTATGCAGTTAATGCAGTACTCATTTAAATAGCTTTTAGTACTTATGTCTACCACACTTGTACTGCATCCTAGTGCTGCACATACAATGATTTTTAGCAGAATGTTGTAGAGGAAAAAATAAGCATTTTCTTTCCATTCGACCTGTACCACCTCTTTAAATGTGTATTAGGAGTATATGTAATGTACCCAGCAGCACACTGGCATATGCACAGTTACAGAGGATTGCATTTGAAAATATTGTGGTTAGTTTTATTACTTTATTCTGTTTCCCTGACAATCTTAACCACAGAATGTAAGTTGGAGAAATAGAGTGCTGAAACACAAACTACAGCATTCAGTTTCAACTGCATTTGCACTTTCTTTTATGCCTACTTAAAAGCTGCACGCAGACACTGATGCATGAGAACAAAGGACCTGAAAGCATTCACTTAGACATCTTCCTCTTTTCTTCTTAGTCGCAACCATGATTCTATATACTATTTTCAAACTACTTAGACCAGAACCTAAGAAATTGATCAACATAAAATATTTAGGGGTCACTTTAAAAATAACTAAATGCTCAATAAAATTGTTGTACATTTTGCAACCTGCAACCAGTTTTGACTGAAAAATAGTCATTATTTCATCTCTTCTGAATTTATTAATCAAGAAATATAATGGTGTTGCATTGAGAATACACTCTATGGCTTCTTAAATCGTTCGTTTTCATCCCATTGATGATAACTTTATGTGACTCTTTCAATAAATGTTCTAATCATTATTTGAATTTTGCTTGTCATTTTGGGGTAATTGTTTTAAATACAAGAAAGTAATGAAAGAAACATCCATAATCCCATCTCAGCTTTTAGCCAGCTCCTTTTGATGTATTTTAAGGATTTAGATACAGTTATTTCAAAATGATAGAAATTTCACTTCTAGTTAAAAATGTTTGTCAGATGTTTTCATATATTGTTCTTTATTGCATTAAGCTATACACTTCAAAACCAAGTTGTAAGGTCAACCACCAATGGAGAAAGCACTTGTGATCATTTCTGTGGTAGTTAACTTAGCTTCCTTAGATTGAAAGTTCTAGCAAATAAGGAAAACAGTTTAATTCCTTTTAGAAAATAACCTATGTTATAACTTAATTGATTCTTTAAAAATTGTTCTTAGAAAGTCCCTCACACTCCCTCCCTTAGTAAAAATTTTGTAGAAGACTGCTTCAAATATCATCTCTTATGATTACATTAAAATGAAATGTTGACTTCCTTGAAGCACCTTGCAAGCCTTGATAGGAAGATAGGTGTTGGATGAAGGGTTTCTGTAACCTATGTTGTGTTTTGAACAAAGACAGTAGAGTAGTCAGGAAATAATGTATACAAGGCACAAACATTCAATGGAATATACAGTCTGGCATTTATTCAGACTGGACAATAGATTCCATTTGCTGGAGTTTTTCCCTTAGTTGTTTGTACTAGCTGGTAATTTTGATGAATTATATATTCTTTCAGAAAATGCAGATAATTTTATAGTATATCTGTAGGTAGTATGCACGTTTTTCTGCTTGGGCACATGCAACATATTACTCTTACCAGATTGTGTGTGAGGCAGAAGATAGGTCTGTGCAAATAGGGTCCCTGTCTAGCTTGCCCCCAGAATGCTTGCATTGCTCAGTTGCATCAAGGAGAGTGCAAGGTAATAACTGGTTCCTGCATAGACTGCTGAGATGCCCCCTGTGGCCAAAAGAAGCAGCACTGATTCCCCCGTCTTTTACACAAAAGGATTTTGTTGTTAATAGCTTTTAGCTCATAAAACATGGTCAACTTTAGATCAAAGAAATACCACATTGCATACCTGTTTAAAATGTTTAGCAGACTCTGTTTTGAATGTGTTTTAACTAATGAGTAGATTTTTTCCAACAGTGAATTTCATGTATAAAGCAAGGATTTTTTTACCTGTGAGATTCCATTTGATATATTTTTGAAACATAGCCACCATTTCCCATATTAATACTGCCCTAAGTTCTTTGATAGAATTTGATAAAGGAGAGCTAGCTATAGTCATAACTACAGTCACGTCCTTCATCTGTATGTCCTTCAATGATAAAAATCAGTTATCAATATAAAAGGCTCAGAAGCCCAAGACTGTGACAGAAGACTAAGGGGGAGAAAGAACCTGGATAATATTGAGCAGCTAGTATGTGTTAGGCTAAATTCAAGACACTTCTTATTAGCTCATATAATTAATTGACTTAAGAAAACGGAACTTGTTAAAAATGGGCAAAATGTGTGAGCACTATTATAAATGTCTTTCTGAATAGCCTTAGATAGTCTCAATTTTTTTTTTCCAATAGATGGTAATCCACAATGCCGAGGGAAAGTAAGCAGCAGCCCATGTTTTGTGCACTTCGTGATGCCAATTTTTAAAGTACCTGTACAAAGATAGACATAGATACAAACATATGGCAGAGTGGCTTAAGTGGTCAGAGCACCTGCCTAGCAAGCATGAGTCTCTGAGTTCAACCCCCATGCTGCCAAAAAAGATAGAAAAAAATACACCCAATTATCTGTGGTCATCTTTCAGCAGTGGGGATTTAAATGGCTTCTTGTTTTCTAGATTTCCTACCATATATGTACATTATATAATTAACAAGAAGTTATAAAACTACATGAATAAAGAAAGTAAACCTTGCTCATGTGTGTAATCCTAGCTACTTGGGAAGCTGAGATCAGGAGGATCATGGTTAGAGGCCAGCCCAGACAAAAAGTTTGCAAGATCACATCTCAGTGCAAGGAAGTTGGGCATAGTGGAGAGCGCTGTCATCATAGCTAGGGTGGGAAGCGTAAAATAGGAGGATCCCAATCCAGACAGGTCTGGACAAAAAGTGAGACCCTACCTCCAAAATAACCAGAGCATAAAGGGCTGGCGGCATGGCTCAAGTTGTAGAATATCTGACTACTAAGTTCAAGGCCCTCACTTAAAAAACCCCAGTACCACCAAAAAGAAAAAAAAAGGAAAGAAAGATTAACTTTGTTTTCTTGAGTTTGAGAATAAATTCCCTAGACCTGTAAATTGACAACTAGAATTTTTATTCATAATGGCCAGGTTTTCATTTTTGTCTCAAGAGAATGTTAATATGCATTTCTTATATCCAACAGTTGATTGAATTTATTTTTCTCACTCAGTGTTTTGTGATGATAGTTTAATTCTTATATCTAAGTTAGATGGTCAATGAAATTAATTTGGAGATTTGTCTAACTGTATTGAGTTAAGCCAAACTGTATTGAGTTAAGCCATCTTTGTATGAATTAGATAGGGAAACAATATTTTTTGAAAATTCTAAATAAACAAATCAATACTGAGACTTAAAATTTAAAGTAAAATTAAAAATTTTTAAAGCTGCTAAAGATTCAAATGTCTGGCTTTTTATACTAGATAGCAAAAATATATTGTATCTCTGTGTGAAAAATATGAAAGGCATATTAAAAGGCCTAGGTAGGTGATTTTCAGAGTCAAAGGAATATTTCACACTAAGAAGCAGCTAGTGAGAATCATGGATTTCAGTGATGCCGTGTGGTGGTGGAAGGTTAATTCCAGTGTATTTTTGGATGAAATAGGCACTATGGCCATAGTAAAAATAAATTGTGAAGTAATGAAGTTTGATATTGAAAACTGAGCTATTTTCTATATCTTGACTTGGGAAATGGATTGCTAAATTCTGTGGTTGTAAGAACCAATGCACCTTACGCTTTCTTCTTGAAAAAATCTTTAAAGGGGAAGTATATAGTATTTATTCATTTATTTCCCCATGATCTTGAAAGTTTACCCAACTAAATCTATTCAGTGGCAACACTTTTGTGTGCTTATAAATTACATTTTCTTCTCTTAATACTAATAATATATCTTCATTCTTTTATTCTTTTTTTTTACCATTAATTAATGTTGAGTGTTGAAATCTGTGATATCCTGTATGGTGGCACTAGTCACCTGTGACTATTTAAATGGAAGATTATTAAAATTAAACAAAATTCAAAATTCAGTTTCTCATTCCCACTAGCCATGTTTCAAGAGCTCAGGAGCCACAGTGCCTATGGCCACTATCGTGGGTAGCACAAATTACGGTGTTTTCCCAGTGGCAGAAAGTTCTGCTGAATAGTACTGCTCTAAACTGTCAAGACAGATTAAAAATTCTTTGGACTTTTCTTCTTGTGCTTCAGTGTGTGCTTATGTTGTTTTACTTAAAATTTCTTCCGTTATTTCATTTTACTTTGTTTTGTTTTTCAGTTTAAAAGGATGCTTAATCGAGAGCTCACCCATCTCTCTGAAATGAGTCGATCTGGAAATCAAGTGTCAGAGTATATATCAAACACATTTTTAGGTGAGAATAACAACATGCAATTTAAATATTTTCTTTTGATTTGTTTGCTTGCTTGTTTTTGAATTGGAGTGACAACTCATTTTAGAAACCAAATAGGTGTTAAAAATTTTCTATTTGTTTTTATTCATCACATTAATAACTTGAGACTTAGCATCTAAGGTGACAAAGTATCAACTGTTTTATTTATCCGTTAATTTCATGGTGCTGGGTATCAAACCCAGGCCTTGCACATGGTATGCCAGTGCTCTGTCACCCAGCCACATCCCCAACCAGTTTTTACATAGTGCTAAATTTTGGAAAATATTTTATAAAGACATCTATAGACACATTCAACAAATTCTTAATGCCACCATTTCTGGGCACTAGGTATTTATAAATTAAAAATGTTCCCTATCCTTGATGACTTGAAAGACACCAAGTCTGGTAAACTGGTTAACAAATAGAACTGGTTTTTTGATAACACAACCCGTCTACCTCATCTGCAGAAAGAAAATTCAGTAAATACAAGTATTTTGAACATTTCCTTGATTTGGGTTTACTTTTGAAACAAAATTGCTGTAACTTGTAATTAGCACACTACTAAACAGTCATTTATTGAAAATATACTATGTATAAGGATGAGTGAGTTAGGGTTGCTCACTGCCTTAAAGAATGAATGAATATACCAAGACATCTTGTATCTTTTACTACAGAAAACAATTGGCATGTATGTATACTCACTTTTTGGCTATTTTAGATTTTCTGTGGGCCCCATCCCCCATTAAACCTGATTACGTGATAATAACCTTGATCTCACTAGAGTATAGAAGTAAAAAGTAGATGTAACCATGTCATTCAAAAATGCTGTTTCAAATCCCTCGGTATGACCTATTTTAAGTCCCACAGTATGACCTAGTTCCGTTAGCTGTTTTGGTTCACACACTGCTGTTTTTATTATATTGGCATATGAAGTTTCTGCCATTTTAAAGTATATGTTAAAACTGGAGTCCTTAGTTGTCAAGAGTAGTTTTCAAGCCACTGAGTGAATTTCACACTGAAATGGACATGGTGAGCACTATAAATTTCCTAGTATTTTGTTTCCTTCAAATCTGCTATCATGAAAATTCCTGCACATTTTTTTCTTAAAGCATTCTATCAAGAGGTAACTATTGTACACATTTGATGTGAACTAGTCTGTAGTAAAATTCATTCTTTTAATTTTGTGTTTGAGGATATCAAATTAGGTCTACATCAAATTGTAAATACTCTGCAAGGAAAAGTATTTACTTGGAAACGTTTCCCAGAATATAGGGTGATCAATTACAACCTGTCCAGTTACACGTTATGATTTTGAAAAATGAGTAACATTAATAGTGAATGTGGCACATTTTCTAAATTTTTTAAGATAAGCAACATGAAGTGGAAATTCCTTCTCCAACTCAGAAGGAAAAGGAGAAAAAGAAAAGGCCAATGTCTCAGATCAGTGGAGTCAAGAAACTGATGCACAGCTCTAGTCTGACTAATTCAAGTATCCCAAGGTTTGGTGTTAAAACAGAGCAAGAAGATATCCTGGCCAAGGTAAGATGATTTCAGAGATAATGCCTTTGCATGAGTCTTGAATCATTCTATTTTAAGTAGATGGAAAAGTTCATTAATTTATACACACATATACACACATTTTTTTGGCAGTGCTGAGGTTTGAACTCAGGACGTCATGCTTGCCAGGCAGGTGCTCTACCACTATGACACTCCTTCAGTTCTTTATGCTCTGTTTATTCTGGAGATAAGGTCTCAGTTTTTGCCCAGGCTTGCCTAAAGATAGTGATCCTCCTATTTTATGCTTCCTGCTGTAGCTGGGATGACAGACACAGGCCACCATGCCCAGCTTTTTCCTCCACTGACATGGGGTCTTACGAACTTTTCTCCCCCCCAGGCTGGTCTAGAAGTACATGCCACCACACCCAGCTATTTTCTATTAAGATGGGGTCTCTCAAGCAGGGCACTGGTGGCTCACATCTGTAATCCTAGCTACTCAGGAGGCAGAGATCAGGAGGATCATGGTTTGAAGCCAGCCCCAGGGAATTAATTTTGCGAGACCCTATCTCGAAAATACCTAACACAAAAAAGGGCTGGTGGAGTGGCTCAAGGTGTAGGCCCTGAGTTCAAACCCCAGTACCACAAAAAAAAAAAAAAAAAAGAAAAAGATGGGGTTTCCTAAACATTTTTGCCCTGGTTGACCTGGAACCACAATCTTCTCAATCTTAGCCTCTAAAGTAGCTAGGATTACAGGTATAAGATACTGGTGTCTGGCTTATATGTTTTTTGGATTTTTTTTTTTTTTTTGTGGTACTGAGGTTTGAACTCAGGGCTACCTTGAGCCACTTCAGCAGCCCTTTCTTGTGATGATTTTTTTGAGACAGTTTCACACACTATTTGACCAGGCTGCCTTTGAACTGTGATCCTCCTGATCTCTGCCTCCTGAATAGCTAGGATTACAAGTGTAAGACACTGGTGCCAGGCTTAGTTATTTATTTATTTTTTAAGATAGAAAAGCACTTTATGAAGCTCTGTAAATTTATTTGGTTTTGTTAATGTAGATTTAGACAAGTGGTTTGGTATATGTGTTTTTTTTACTTATTTGCATCATTTTCATTTGATTTTTGGCCTGGAAGAGTTAGAAATCTATCCTCACTTATGCGTTTTAAAAGAATAAAGTTCTATGAATAGATTTTATTCACTGAAGAAATGCTTTGAGGTTGATATTCAAAGTATGTGATATTGTCAAAATCATCAAGTTAAGCAACAGTGTTCCATTTCCAATATATTTAAGTAAATTTGCCTAAAATTTTCCTATACTTACATGGTGTATCCATTACATTTAAAATGAATCATGTTTGAAAACCATCTAAAAATCTTTCCATTTAATTAATTTTCATCAGTTTTTAAGTGTTTGTGTTCACTGTCTCGTGGTCTTCTGCTTTCTGGTTTTCTGATATATTTCTCTACCTCAGGAACTAGAAGACGTGAACAAGTGGGGTCTCCATGTTTTCAGAATAGCAGAGCTGTCTGGCAACCGGCCTCTGACTGTTGTCATGCACACCATTTTTCAGGTAATGTGCTTTCTGTCACATTTCTTTTACTTAGGGACTGTGTTAGTCACTTCCCACTACTATGACAAAATTACCTGAGCAAATCAAAAGAAAGAAAGATTTATTTTGGCTTATAGTTTCAGGAGTTTCAGTCCATGACTGACTGCTTCATTTCTTTTTTATGCTGTGGTGAGGCAAAATATCATGATGGAGAAAGCATGGCTGCTTGACTTATGGCAACCAGGAAGTGGGGGGAGAGAGAGGGAGAGACAGAGAGAGAGAATGAAGAGAATGAATAAGGAGGAGGAGGAGAGAAGAATGAAGGGTCCAAGGACAAGATATAACTGTTAGATGCCTCACTTCCCAGAAGTCCATTCAGCTATGACTCATCAGTGAATTAACCCGCTAAAGTTAGTACCCTCCAAATCCACCACTGGCTGGGGACCATGTTTTCAATACCTAAGCCTTAGGGACCATTGTGTATCCAAACCATTGTAGGGACTTAATGTCCAGTCTGTGGATTGTGCATGCATTTTGTCTTCCTTACTACTCACCTCTTTTTATTATTTTGATGCTTTTGATGCTCCTTTATCAAGAGGCAAATAAAGATATAGAAATGTGGAGTATGAGTAAAACAAAATAATTTATTTGATTTTTTTCCATTTAAGAAAAAGAGGATGTGGAGAAATTGAAGGAATGCACTAAAACAATAGTTTAAAACTCATCTCCATGACTCTGACTTTAAAAAATGAAAAAGCTCCCTGCTGGCAAACTTCAGAATGTAATTTTTTGAATCACATTGTAGTGTTCTGCTATCCTTTCTCATTCTTCTGGAGCCTTTGCTCCATCTCATGGTGGGATTTAATTGAGCAGTGGAGGCTGTTGCCAATACCTGGAGACTATAATGGGAAATCCAGCCTTAACTGACTGTTGGGCTTTGACTGGTGTGACCCAGGGCTGAGTCAGTAGCTCTATCGCAGCTGCATGATCCTGGGACACAGAAATCTCTCTAGTCGTAGTTCATTCTTCACACCATACAGCTTGGATACAGCCCTGTTGACCTGCGGAAGGACAACTCAAATACGGTTTTATCTCCAACATTCCTGGATCTTCAGAAATATTTTCATTGCCTTCGCTAGACAGGGGAAAGTAGTATTTCCATTTCTGGGTTATCTGTAGGCAACCCTGGTGTGTGATTTTCATTTAATAAATTCTGTTTAACTTTTTTAATATAAAGATTAAAAAGGTTAAAAGGATTTCTTTTCCTACAGGAACGGGATTTATTAAAAACATTTAAAATTCCAGTAGACACTTTAATTACATATCTGATGACTCTCGAAGACCACTACCATGCTGATGTGGCCTATCACAATAATATCCATGCTGCAGACGTTGTCCAGTCCACGCATGTGCTGTTATCTACACCTGCTTTGGAGGTAAGTTGGCTCTCTAAAATTTCAAGAACACTAATTTACTATTCATAAAGGTTTCTTAAACATTTAGGTTGAAGTGTTTCCAGTGAAGTCAGTAACTGGCCTCGTTGGAAACATGTTCTCTTACAGGGGAGAAATTGGTGGTTAATAAACTGTTGAGCCTGATAAACTTTGCCTCTGAAAGTTGGTTTACAACTTGGGGATTCATCTGTTTATGATATTGCTTCTTTGAAATGATCCAGTGGATGTTTCATAAAGCACACCTGGCTTGTTGACTTCTGGTTAGCTTGTTTTCTTGAAATTTAGACAGATGGCTTTTGTATTTTTTAGTTCAAAGGATGACTGTTTTATAAAATATGAGTAGTGAGTTAACACTTACCAAGAATTTTTAGAAGGAAATTCTTGTGTAATTTTTCCAAATCCTAAGAAGGTATTCCATTAAGTGTTTACTGAAGGAATTTTATTTCCTTAAACATTTTGGAAAAAGGTTCTCTTTTGCTATATAGTTTAGATTTCATTTAACAAATTTGTTAAAATACTTAGTCATTTAGTTGAATAGTTATCAACCGGACATGATTTCTCTCCCCCTTTCTTTCCCTCTTCCAACCCCCAGGGACAGTTGTCAGTGTCTGGAGACATTTTTGGTTGTCACAGTCATCACATTTGTGGTTGCACATGCTATTAACATGTCAAGGCCAGGAATTCTGCTAAAAACCTGATAGGACCATCTGCCACTCAGAGTCTCATATTTCACAACATGTCAACTATGTTAAGGCTTAGAAATCCTTTTTTATGGTGAAAGAAAGGAAAATAATTGCTCATGTCTTATTAATGTATACATTTTCAGAATATTAAGTATGCTATAAAATAAAAATATTTTCTAAAAAATAATTGCAGATGTTCTTTTTATATTATTTGAAAAAATACAATGAAGCTGGACATGGCTGCTGTTGCTTGTAATCCCAGCATTTGGAAAGCTGCAGCAGGAGGACCATGAGTTCGAGGCCAGCCTAAGTACAGAGCAAGACCCGATCTCAAAAAAAGCAAAACATACATACATACATATATATGTGTGTGTGTATATATGACTTGAAAGATTTGATCATGAGATATAATAAAATTATATAAAATATTTTCTTCTAAAATTAAATTAAAGAAATTCATAGGTAAATCGTTATCTAAAAGACCCTTCCTGATACACATCATGATACTGTATTTTAAAACTTCACTGAGTTATTTCTCGTTTGTTTGTACTCTTCGTTCATATCAGTAGAGAACCGTGGAGTAATTGTTACTGTCTGATTTCCCAGGCTGTGTTTACAGATTTGGAAATTCTTGCAGCAATTTTTGCCAGTGCAATACATGACGTCGATCATCCTGGTGTGTCAAATCAATTTCTGATCAATACAAGTAAGTGAAGCTTATGTATTTTTGCAGAGCAAACTTTTCCTTCATGTTTTTTAATAATGGAAGGGTCTTTATAAACTCAGAGCCATGATGATCTTTGGAGATGTGCAAACTGTATTTTAATGACAGATACGATTTATCTCTGAAGATTATCCTTATATCCCTTGAAGCACATGATGTTTGAAAAACATGCATTCCAGTACTTCTCTAAAAATAGTATATCACTGTGTTATTAGGCAAGGATAACCAAAAGGGAAAATGTGTAGAAAGATTTAGGTAGTATGCTGCCCTTGAATCTTTTCAATATCAAGGCAAAGTTTCTGAGAATTAACGCTAAACCTTCTTCCCTTCACGTAGATCATCATTTAATCTCTTTTAGAAGCTGCAGCTCTCCTTTCCCCACCATCATCAGGCCCAGCCCGCCTTTTTCCTTTGTAAATCTCTTAATGAGGATCACAGGAAGTTCTCTCCTAATCTGAGACTTTCATCCATTCCATTTTCTCACTTTCTTGACGTCTCACGTATAAGAAGTCATCACTGCACTTGGAGGGGAGGGTGCTCAGTATAGACGTCACAGCTACACAGCAAACCTGTGTGGGAAGCGTAAGGGAATACTCGACCTGAAATTCTACTTCATACTTGAACTTTACAGGCAAATGACTTAAGTGGACTATAACTTAATCCCCTCCCAATATGGTAGATTAACATTATGAATTTACATTAATATATGAAAAATACAAAGTTTTGAAATTTTTTTTCATGTTAGGAATGTGCCTGTCCTCTGCTTGAATTTGTGGACAGTAACCCTCCCATGCACTGTAGCTGGAGCAGTGTCTACATGCTCACCCTTTATTTCCTACACTTCCTTGTAGCCACATTTAAAGAGAGAATTTAAATGTAACCTTGCTTTGAATGGTTGAATTCAACCTTTAAGATTATCAAGATCTGGTTTTGTTTTTTAATAGCCTCTGTACTATCATATAACAAAATTCAGTTTGGTGACTCACCCATATAGAGGAAGATAGGAAAAGTCACAAGTTTCCTGAGATGTGTGGTTAGTAGAATGCATTTTAGAAGTTTGGGTTAGGAATTTATTTCTTTATGCTGGTTAGACAGGACAACATTTCATGTTCCATCTGCCTAATGAGAACCTGTAATGGGCTCCTTTCAGAACTCATCAAAGCATACACATACCCACTGACTGCTGCTTCCCAGTTTTGAACTATGCTAGCACTTAGGATTGATTTCCTTTTCCGAGAAGAGCGAACAGGTCATACAGTCTGGCACACACTGGCACTTTCCACGAGTCTGGCCTGCTTTAGCATTTTGATGCATGTACTGATGTGTTCTTAATATTACCAGTTTTCAACAAATACATAAAAATTTCATTTTGACTTAGTTTTGAGTATTTAAGAAAGGCACTGTTTTTCTTTAATAGCATCAAACATTCAGATGGATAATTTTCTTTACATTCTATTATGCACCATATTGAACATTCCCTTCTAACTCCAGAATTAAGAACAGAGAACAAATGAAAACAATTGGTAATAAAGTCAGTCTTTCAAGTACTCTGAAATATTTTTTAAGGATAATAGGATAACGGGGACCAGTTCTATTCTTTTTTCTTGTAAACCTTTCAAAGGCAATTGAGCTTAGGCTAACACCTGGAAAACTCGAGGTGGGGGGGGCACTAGGGCATCTGTGGAAACTGTCATTTAAGCTAGCACAACCTAGTCCACAGATAAATTTGATGTCCCCTAAGGTTGAAACAGGTGATGGAGAAATTTAGGGGATGATTATAAATGCACAGAAAGTGGCCAAAAATGTCTACAAAGATGTCTGGTGACCTGCTTGGGGAGAAAGGATAACTAGTCTTGCCTCTGTAAGTTCTTTGCTATATTTTTATGTTGAGGTGATCTCCTTCCATAATTGGAAGGTTACCTCTTATTTAAAGGAGGCTACAGCAGCACAGAGAGGTTGAGGGATGTGTCATTACATGGCTCATGCGGAAGAGACTCTAGCACTCACCTGGCTGGTTCCCAGTACAGTTACGCTCCTATTTAGTTGTGATTATAGTTCTCTTTAATAGTTTTCACGTTTGTTAGTTTCAGGTGCCAAATGCTTTGATACTAATTGTGCTTACAGTCATTGTAAGCATCCTGAAGGTTCTGAAAGTGGAGATCACTTATTAGTTCTTAAAATAATGTACATTGAGAGGTTAAGCTTTAATAAATGACTTGGGAGTCTGGGGAAGTGTGAACAAGATATAGAGAAACTGAAATCCCAGGTGGAAAGCTGCCTAAGTCTTTTTAAAAGGAATGCAGGTAAATAAGCCCATAAAATGGTATAGTATCGTAAAGTTTTGAATGTAGCATGCTAGAAGGTATTTATCACAAAATGCTCATTTAATTCACAGTTTTATTTTCTAAAAAATTAAAACAATGTCAAAAGTACATAACATAATAGCATTAAGTTTTACTTGGAGAGAGACTCATTTTTGTTTATAACAAAAGATGCCTAAGTTTGAAAGATGTATTCACTTTAGTCATATATTCAAAGCATATGTTTTTTGGTTTCCAAGAGCAGAGAAGCAGTACATCCTATTAAGATGAAGCTGGATTTTTCCGGGATACATCGTTTTTAATTTCTCTAATCTTATTTTAACGTACATTTTCCATAGCTATACTAGTGGATTATATAGAAAATTTTATTTTCCTCTGTATACCTAGCATCTTCAAAATAAGCACAAATTGATTTTTAATAAATGTGTTTATGTAGCTAGAACTACAGAGATTATTTTATTCAACAAGAATATACTGAGAGACTTCTAAGTGTTAAATGTTATTTTAGTCACTGGAAATACCTGGTGAGCAAGACAAAACTCTGGCTTTGCCTTATGCTAGCATGAGATGGTGCCCCGTGCTGTGGGCTGGCTAATCCTTTGGCTTTGGAAGCAATATTAAGTTAAAACCACAACTTCCCTTCCCCATTCAAGGGTAAAATTTTTGTTTTGAAGACTGTTTGTGTCTCCTGTAACTTCAACACCCGCATAGCATGCTGTCATTTTCTAAGCCTGGCTGAGCGATAATGACAGTGAGAGTGTACTTATTACACTTGGTGTCCATACCTCCAGTCTGTCTGTCTTACATGTTCCAGCCTCATCGCCTAGTGTTGGCTCCAACCCACCACACGGACGTTCTTACCATACATATAGGTCCCATTCTTTCATTCCCCAGGAGTCTTAAGCAGTCTGTTCCTGTCTATGAATCTCTATACTTCTTCCTCTGTTTCCTCTCTTGGGATGAGAGCTCCTGGAATGTAGATTTCAACTCAGTCACTACTGTCTTTCTATCCAATGGCAGCTTGTGGAAGAAACTCTGGGGACATTATTAGGAACCCCCCACATTTCCATTTTGCTAGCAATATCATATAATCCTAACTACTATTTGGTGGGAGTTGTTCTTATTTTATAGATAAGACCAAAAGAGGAGAGGTTGGGTGCTGATTTCAAAGCCAGATCTGTTTGATTTCTAAGCTCATTATAATTTTACTTCAATACAGATATAATGAATATGCATTTAACTTACTCTTAAAAATGTGTTTTGTCAAGCAGATACACAGAGTGTACATGGAATTTACCTTTTTTGAATGCTAAAGTGTGGTCAATTTGAGATATTATTTCATATTTCTCTTACTATAAATACATGTCTTTTTTTCAGCTTAAAATTTTTAAAAAATATCTATCAATTAAGCTTTTATAAAAATAATATGTTCATTGTAAATAAAACCAAAACAATGTGAAAAATACAGGGGGGTAAAACTAACCTGAAATTCTTCCCTCAAAGATTATAATTTCATTGAACATTATGTCAGACTTCTCTAGACACATAAACACACAGGCAGAAGCATACAGTTTCAGATATGTAAAAATTCATACTTTTTATGATGCTTACCTATTACTTTCATCTCCTCAGTAACCTAGTTGGACATGTTCCTTGATAAAAGTAATGGAATTAACTTGACCCCTATTCATGGATCCTAAGCTGCCCATCTTCTGCTTACATTGCTTTGAACTATGTGATCATCTTAGAGTTTAATTTGCTTTACATTTTGATATCTGTTACGTCATTGACCTTTCAGAAAGCTTATAACTCTTTACATTTTTACCAACAGTATGCCCTTTCCCCATGCTTTTGCCAGCTCTGAGTTTTGTTGGGCTTTTTAACAATTTTAATTTGATTGATAAAAAATTTGAATTTGTTTTTATTTTTCAGGCCCCTTTCCAAAATATCACATTTCTCTCCCATTGTTGAAAAGCATCTGTTGGTAATAAACAATTTAAAATAAAGTTCTTTTAAATCTACTTAAAATGTAACACAGTCAACAAGAACTCCTTACATAGCTACTACTTTCCCTCAGTGTAAAAAGCACTGCAAGCTGTCCAAAGGGGAGAGAGTAGGTCTTGGCCCTCCAGGAATTTCTAATCTAAGAGGATGTGATAGTTAATTTTATATGTCAATCTCACTCAGCTAAGGGGTGGTCAGAGAGCTGGTAAAGCGTGCTTTTGAGTGAGTCTGGTAGAGTGTTTTCACAAGAGGTTAGGATTTGAATCGGTAGACTGAGTAAAGATCACCTTTACCAGTGTGAGTGGACATAATCCAAGTCATTGAATAGAACAGAATAGAATACAACATGGACAAAAAGCAAATTGACTTTCTTGAGAGCTTGTTTGGAGGTTCTAGCAGGGGAGCGCAGCTACTCGTATACCCTTGACCGAAGAACGGTCTTCCTCTATCGGGGATGGTCGTCCTCTTCGACCGAGCGCGCAGCTTCGGGAGGGACGCACATGGAGCGGTGAGGGAGGAAGGGGACACCCGCCTAGCCAGCCAGATCAGCCGAATCAACCCTGGCGATCAATGGGGTGACAGATGTCGCAGCCAGATCGCCCTCACATCCGCAAATTGACTTTCTTATTTTGACTACAGTATCCATGTTCTGTTCTCAGACATCAATGTTGCTGATTCTTGGGACTTTAGACTTGAACTGGGACTGACATCACTAACCTCCCTCACCTCATTGCCTTTCTCAAAGCCTTCAGCCTGGGGCTAAATTGCTGCTGCTTTCCTGGTTCTCCAGCTTGTAGACTGCATAACTGGGACTTCTTGGCTGCCATAATCATTTCAGTCAATTCCTACAATACATACATAGGAGCATGTATAACTATATGTAACCTCTTGGCTCTGTTTATCTGGAAAACCATGGTTAATACAGATTTTGGTATTGAGAGTTATATAGTACTATGAGCAGATTTTTTTTTTGTTTTTTTTTTTATGGTACTGGGGCTTTAACTTAGGGCCTACACCTTAAGCCATTCCACCAGCCCTTTTTTGTGATGAGTTTTTTTGAGATAGGGTCTTGCGAACTATTTGCCCCAACTGGCTTCAAACCACAATCCTCCCAACCTCTGCCTCCTGAGTAGCTAGGATTACAGGTGTGAGATACTGATGCCTGGCTATGAGCAGAATTTTATGGATGAGTTTTCTGAACTGCTTATGGTGTTTCCAGAATTGACTCTACTGTTACCAATTTGGAGACAATCATGAGTATTTCCAGTACTAATGAAAGCACTAATAATCCATGGTATGGACTAAGTAATCCCGAATATGACACTTCAAATATTTTTAGAAAATGCAGGAAATAATCACATTGGTAGGTTACTTCTAATGTGACTGGGTGAAGTGGTGAAAGAAAAGGATGAGCTGAGGGATTAGAATTCCCAGATCAAACATAGCATAAATGTCATAAATTGCTTTGCGGTATCTCAGGAAGGAAAGCCTTTTCCCTTGTAGCTGCAAGGCTGAAATTGGTAAAACTCAAAGACAGAATGTCCACCTGTTATTGGCCGAGTTACAATGAGCTTTTTATAGTGTCTTTTTGTTAAAAGGAGAGTATTGATTGGGGAAAAATATCCAGGTAAAATTCAGAGGTTTTCTACCATAGTAAAATTTCAAGCAGTCCAGTGGTTAGGGCATGTTGAACTATCTCTTGTAAGGTAAAGGGTAAGTTGTTGCATCTTGCTTTTCTTAAAATCAAGAAAGAGGCACATTTGTAGGCTTATTTGGATTTTAGAGGCAGTATGCTCATTTGGATGTGTTCCTCTGTTCCATCACTGAGTGACTTGAGTGGGACCCAGAGTGGAAGGATCTGCTTCTGCTTCCAGGCTGCTGTACAAGCTACTGTGGCACTTGAGCCACATGACTCAGGAGATCCCACAGTGCTTAAAGTGTCAGTGGTTGATAGGGGTGTTGATTGGAGCTATGGGTCGGGCCCCATAAGTGACTTTTAGAACTTTGGAGCAAGACCTTGCCATCTTTCAAAGATTACTGTCCTTCTTTTGAAAGACAACTCTTGGTCTGCTGGGCCTTAGTAGATACTGAATGTTTAGCCATGGTCAATTTACTGTAGAATCTAACTTCCCATATGAACTAGGTATTACTGACCACTGAGGATGAGGGTAAGCATGCACAGCAATACTCTGTCATCAAATGGAAATAATATACATGTGATAAGCCTCAAGTAGACACTGAATGCACAAGTAAGTTATGCGAAGAAGTGACCCAAATATCCATGGTCCCCACTCTGCTATACTGTCTTTTTCCCCAACCTATACCTTTGTATTATGGGGAATTTTCTAAAATCAATTGCCAGAGAACCTAGTTTACAGATGGTGCACAGTCTGCAGCCACCACTTATGTGAAGAATTGCAGCCCTCCTGCTCCCCCTATAGGACAGTGGTGAGGGGGAATCTTCCCAGTGTCCCTTCTTGTACACTTTGTTTGGAAAGAGCAATGGACAAGTGTGATTATATACTAATTCATAGAGTGTAGTCAGTGGTTTAGCTGGATGGTCAATGACTTAGAAAGGGACATGGTTGGAAAATTGATAACAAAGAAATTTGGAGAAGATATGTAGATAGATGTCTCTAAATGAATAGATGTGTCCCATGTAAATGTTTTCCAATGGGGGTCCTCAGCAGATGAGAACTTTACTAACCATGTGGGTAGGATAACCTGTTCTGTGGATACCAGTCAGCCTTCTCCCCCAGCCTTCCCTGTCATCACTATGGACTCATCATCAAAGTGGCCATGGTGCTAGAGATGTAGGTTGTGCATACATGGGTTTAGCAACATGGACTTGCACTGATCAAGACTAACCTGACTACGGTCACTGATGAGTGCCCAGTCTTCCAGCAGCAAAGACTAGCACTGAATCCTGATACAGCATCATTCTCTAGGATGATCAGCCTTCTAACAAGTTAATCACATTGGACTACTTTCATAGTGGAAAGGGCAGTATTTTGTCCTTGTGGAATTGGTACCTTCTCTGGAAATAGGTTTTCTTTCCCTGCACACAATACTTCTGTCAAAGGTATCATCCTTGGAACTATAGGGTACCTTATGTACTGTTAGAGTTGTCACTACCTATTGCTTCTGACAAAGGAATTCACTTCATTGCTGAAGCAGTGCACAAATGGCCCCATGTTCACCAAAATCATCGATCCTACCGTGTTCCTCGTCATCCTGAAGCAGCTGGCTTGGTAGAATGGACTTTTGAAGACTGAGTTATACCACCATCTAGGTGGATATAGCTTGTAAGGTTGGGGAAATGTTTTCAGAAGAGCAAATGTAGTCTTGTTGCTCTATTTCTAGTGCCATTTCTCCAAACTCAGGATTCATATGTCCGGTACTCAAGGATGGAAATGGAAGTGGTACTATTCAGTAGTCATCACCACAGTCCTGTGACAGCCGAAAGATGAGAGAGGCTATAGAGGACTACCATTCCATGAAGGAATTGTTTCATGGCCTTTGTGGCCAGTCTGAACGCTTTCCTAAATTTTGGAGATAACTGCTTTCCACTACAGGGTTAGTCAGTGCCCTTGGACATCTGCCCTAAAAGGAAGACTATCCTTGAGCTGGCCGAGTGGCTCAGTTGGTAGAGGGTCTGCCTAGCAAGTGTGAGGCCCTTAAGTTCAAACCCTAATATTGCCAAAAAAAAGAAAAACCATCCTTATGTTGAGTAGAATTCAGCCTTTGCACTGCAGGCCACCCTCTCCTTTGAAGTACCAGCTATTCTGAGTATTCTTGTCTTGCATCTTTCTTCAAGGGATATATAAATCCCTAATGTTTCTGTAAAGCCAAGTCAAGTCCTATGTTAACACCCTTTTCTACACATATATTATCCCTTAAAAGGCCCCTTATAAATTACTTCAGTATTACTTCTCCAGTTAGAAAGCATTATGCTTTCCTTTCAATATGTTTATTTAATATGATTCTGCTGTTAAAGCACAGTAATGTCATGTGCTAAGAGCATATATATAGGCTTTTTAAAGGGTCTTTAAAAGTAAGGGTTTGGTCTTCAGGGAAGAAAATAAGACTTAGCCAGATACTGCCTTTCAGAAAAATGAGCAGAATTGTTTTTTTCCAGAAAAAAACAAAACAATATTACCTACACATCCACTCCTTACTACTCTAGACATCTCTGTTCCTATAGCTGGGGAATAGAAATTTAGATTTCTGATTTCTGTGTAGCTGGGTCAAGATGATAGGATCTCCTGGAGCGATATGGCCTCAGCCTCTTCTGTCCCCCTTAGTTCCTTGAAAGCAGTTAATGAGTAGCACTAGGTATTTCTGTCATAGAAGAAATCTGCAAATGTATTTTCTATGCATAAGTCAGAAAATGATCAAATATATGTGCTTTTAGTCTGTTCAAATGACTTACGTGGAAACAGAACAAAGCATCAATTTTGTTTTTTGTTTTTGTTTTAGTGAGTACTTTCTAGAGCTGGGTATATTATTTACAAGAGTAGAAAAGAGGCAGGATTTCTTCCTGTCTTTTATACACTGGTCTGGGGTAGTATGAGAGAGGGGATGGAGGTAGCTGAACACAACGTCTCTGTGAAGCCATGGATGAGCAACATAATTTTATGTATATAATGACTGCCAGGATACTTGAGAAAGGAAGTGCAGAAAAACGAATAAAGCTTTACTTTCAGAGCTATCCTGTGGAAGAAAGTAGGAAGAGCAGCATAGTCTGCTAAGTTTATGGCAGATCTCAAGAAGATGTTACAGATCATCTGGTTTACTTCTTTCACTTCAGAAAGGAGGAAGCTGAGGTCCACAGAGTGAAATGTCCTGCTTCAAGCCAGTAGTATTGGATTCATTCTGAAGAGTCCACTGTTCTTTCTGTTCTTAGACCTTTATCCAGTATTATTTCCCACAAATTGTCATATAAGGGTAATGGCAGCATAATGTAGGGGAAATTGCATCCTAAACCAAGGTATCATATAATGTGGGACTTTCTTTGTTTTGTTGTTTGTTTGTCTTTAAGACTCACCATCCCTCTGATTGCTGGGAGTTACTGTAGAAGGTAACTTAATTGCAAGAGTAAGATACACTTCTAATTAAACAGCATTGGTGATTTCTGTCTGTTTTTCTTTCAGACTCTGAACTTGCCTTGATGTACAATGACTCCTCTGTTCTAGAGAACCATCATTTGGCTGTGGGCTTTAAGTTGCTTCAGGAAGAAAATTGTGACATTTTCCAGAATTTGACCAAAAAGCAAAGACAATCTTTAAGGAAAATGGTCATTGACATTGTAAGTAGCTGATAAAAGCAAAGAAAAAGAAAAAAAAAAAGTGATGCAAGTTGTTTTTAAAACTGATGAGTGTCAAGGAAAAGAAAGTGTGTTTCTAGAAACTGCCCTTGCTGCCAGCAGGGATTTCTATAATAGATTTCCTACTTCTAGCAGTTTCAACTTAAGAATAGTGATAAGATCACCTTCATTATTCAGTTTTGGGTTTTTTGAGCTATCATTCAGGTTTTATTTTTTGGGCTCGTCTTGTCTGGTAGCAGAAGAAAGATGAATAGGCAAAAGCAGAGGGTGTGGGCCAGAGCTCAAGTAGATTTTTTTCCACTTTGCTCCATCTAGTTAGAAACATCTATGATTCTTTTCTCTATGTGCATTATTTAGACTGATTTTGAGACATAGGAAAATCTCCTGTTATTAAAAAGTATTCTGTTACGCTTTTGTATATACATAGGGAAGAATTACCTATTTTGGAGAAGCATAAAACTAACTAAAATATCCCAAGTGGTCCTTGACTAACCTTGAGTCATAGTCCAGCAACCAGATTCTTATCCAAAGAATGTAAAAAAAAAAAACCCATCAAAATGGGTGATGATGCTTTGTCCCCAAAGATATTATCTATTGTTCCTTTTTTCACCACAAAAGTGGTTGCCAGCACCTAAAGTTTCTGGGTACTGTGCAGATTTACCTTGACTTCCATAAAACTTGACAGTAAAGGAGAAAAATCTCTGCCCCAAGATAGAGTAATTTCCACACACATTCAGTGAAGTAATTTCCTTCTCACATTGTGGGGGAAAAAAGTCATGTGGAAATCCTGCTTTTTCCTATTTAACAAAATATTCTGTATCCTTTAAGGTACTTGCAACAGACATGTCAAAACACATGAATCTACTGGCTGATTTGAAAACTATGGTTGAAACTAAGAAAGTAACAAGTTCTGGGGTTCTTCTTCTTGATAATTATTCTGATAGGATTCAGGTAAGTCATTATTTGAGTTTGTTCTGTGTATGTGATCTCTCTGTGTATATGTGTGTGCACATGCCCTTGTGTCTGTGTGAGGAAATAAATAATTTATTCCTCCTTTCTCCCATCTTATTTATATTTTTAGAAACTATAGTCAGGATATTTAAACATATTCTTATTCCTGATAATTAATCAGGTAAATGTCTATTGATCTTTTCATTTGCATATACATTAAAAAAAAACCCTAACAACCCAGAAAACCAACCTATGAATTAATCAACTGTGCACATAAAGAGTTTTTCTTATAACACTTAGATGTGATAGAAGTGGCATAATTTGGAGCTATTAATATAAGTGTGAACCACACACAGACACATCATGGCTGAGCTATTTGAAATAAATCTTACACTACACATATTTTTAAGTTTCACGGTCATCCCTTGTGAATTCCTCATTTAAAAAAAAAAGAAGGAGCAGGTGCCAAGTAAAGAATGCATCCATCAATTGCAGGTCCTTCAGAATATGGTGCATTGTGCAGATCTGAGCAACCCAACAAAGCCTCTGCAGCTGTATCGCCAGTGGACAGACCGGATAATGGAGGAGTTCTTCCGCCAGGGAGACCGAGAAAGGGAGCGTGGCATGGAGATAAGTCCCATGTGTGACAAGCACAATGCATCTGTGGAAAAATCACAGGTAATGTATGATACCTAAAGCTTTGAGAGAGAAAGCAAAGCTACAGTTGTAGTATTTAACTACTTTGTACTCACATATAACCTCTGATACTGGGTTTTTAAAATTTCTTTCTTTGTGACAAGTTCAATTTTACCTCAGTGTTTATGAACCAAAAAACTGCCAGTCTTCTGATTTGCATTCATATGATATTATATTCATTCATTGTGACTATACCCATATAGTATATTCATACACAGAGAAAGAATATTTGGCTTAGTTTAGTGATCTGAATTTTCCTACAAATTCACTATTCTAAAAAAAGTCAAGGATGCATACCCTACTTGTAAATAGCTGGAAATTTTTTTTACATTGCAAACCTACTCTTGAACTAAGAGCTCTAGAAGTTAACTTTCTCCAGCTAATAGCAACCCTTTAACATGATCTGTTATCTCAAAAAGAGACTGTTTTACCAAAATAAGTGTAGTAGCCCTCTGTCCAGTTCATTTGTAGGCCAGCATCTAGTTAACCTTTTCCATTGTTTCTTAGTCCCATTGGATTTCTTCTCTTTTTTCACTAGGTGGGCTTCATAGACTATATTGTTCATCCACTCTGGGAGACGTGGGCAGACCTTGTACATCCTGATGCCCAGGACATTTTGGACACTTTGGAGGACAATCGTGAGTGGTACCAGAGCACAATCCCTCAGAGCCCCTCTCCTGCACCTGATGACCAAGAAGAGGGCCGACAGGGTCAAACTGAGAAATTTCAGTTCGAACTAACTTTAGAGGAAGATGGTGAATCAGACACCGAAAAGGACAGTGGAAGTCAAGTGGAGGAAGACACTAGTTGCAGTGACTCCAAGACTCTGTGTACTCAAGACTCAGAGTCCACTGAAATTCCTCTTGATGAACAGGTGGAAGAGGAGGCAGTAGCAGAAACAGAGGAAAGCCAGCCAGAAGTTTGTGTCATAGAAGACTATTCTCCTGACACGTAACAGTGCAAAGTTTGTCATGCCTTTTTTTTTTTTTAAGTAGAAAAATTATTTCCAAAGTGCATGTCACATGCCGCAACCATGGTCACACCTCACTATCATCTGCCAGGACGTTGTTGAACAAAACTGACCTTGACTACTCAGTCTGGCGCTCAGGAATATCGTAACCAGTTTTTTCACCTCCATGTCATCAGAGCAAGGGGACATTTTCACAAACAGCATTTTAACACAATTTCAGCTTCGTAGAGCTGACAAAGCAGATAAAATCAACTCCAAAATGTTTTCAAGGTAGTGTGGCTTATCAGATAGCCCAAAAGTGGATTGGATTTGGGGGTTCTCTTCTTGTTTGTAACATTTTCAGAAGTAATAAGGCATTTCACGGGTAGAGTGAACTTAGTTGAGGAAGCAACAAAAACGTCATGAACAGGACAGAGCGTGCGTCTGTTCCCAGGAGGAGGATGAGCCACAGGAACTGCATAATTTTCTAATTTCAAGTCTTCCTGATACATGACTGAATAGTGTGGTTCAGTGAGCTACACTCACCTCTACATTTTGTATGATATGTAAAACAGATTTTTTTGTAGAGCTTACTTTTATTATTAAATGTATTGAGGTATTATATTTAAAAAAAGAAAACTCTGTTCAGAACTTCATCTGCCACTGGTTATTTTTTTCTAAGGAGTAACTTGCAAGTTTTCAGTACAAATCTGTGCTACACTGGATAAATCCAATTGACAAATTTTACTTGCACCTTATAGTTCATAGCAATTAACTGATTTGTAGTGACTCATTGTTTTATATACCAATGACTTCCATATTTTAAAAGAGAAAAACAACCTTATGTTGCCGGAAACCCTTTTTGTAAGTCTTTGCTTATTTCACTTTTTATTTCACTCTTTCCCAGTCAGCATAGTTGCTCTCCATAATGTTTTTCTTCACGGTGTGCAAAGTGAATATTTGTTCTGTAATACTTCGATGTGTGTTATGTCAAATGTGTCTCAAGCCTCATAGATACTCAATCATCAGTTGGTGTTGTCTGAATCAAATGGGAGATATATAAATACCCAGTAGCTAAATTGGTCAGTCTTTTTTAGGTATTTTCCTACTTAGCGTCTTCTGCAGACTTTTTGCTGTGTCAAGAGACACGCATTTACAAGTACATGTCCTTGTAATAACTGGACATTTCATGCTCATTTTTATTGTTCAGTTATAGTAAGACAAGCATTTTCTCCTCTTGTGCTGCTTTATTATTTAACGTGTGTTTGAACCTCTGTCCATATTGGCTAGATTGAAGTTTTATCAAGTATATCACCACCATTCTGATGATGAAAAGAAACAGATAGTCAAATTAGTGTTTCCATTCATTTCTACCACAAAGTTGTATGTCATGACTAGCATTTTCTCTGAGGCTACAGAGAAAATTAACAGCTAGCTAGACAATTTAGAAGAATCTGTAAAGCATATATTAACTAACACCAGTACGGCTCTCTCATTTCTGAGAGTTCACAGTGGGATTAAGAACTATAAGAGGAGCATTCCTGAGAAGTGAGTGACCTTAAGTGTAGCAGCTACTCTTAATGGATAGCTGAGTAACACGTAGAAACTGCTTTATCATTGACTCATAAGCATGTCTTGTAAGATGGAACTACTTCTAAAAGCACACCAAGGGGGGCAGTTAATACCGCTGACAGCAGAGGGCTGGTGATGTGATCCCATCTAAAATGTGGGGCTGGTGAAAAGATTCTGCCTAATAAAAGATTCGAGACGACGCTTGGCTGATTTCAGCACCAGGAGTGGTATTGGAATTTTAAAGATTAATTCTCAGAGTTTATCTGCTGGCAGCAGTTGGCATCATGGGGCATGTATTTAGCAGGGACTATCTTCTCAAGTCAATTCTTAATGAAAGATTTGCTTTTTCTGTGAAAAGTTTTGAACACATAGTCATTTTTCACATTGATATCCAAGAATTGATACATAGGGAGGAACTACAGGAGGTATCTGACTAAATAGAAAATAAGTAAAAGATTTTTAAAAATTACAAACCCTGAAAAACATTTATGTTAGAATTTCTCAAGGAGGCTTCTGGGGACTAGTTACTAGTCATCAGCCAGGGAAATGAGCCAAGCTGAACATAGTACCAAATTTAGTCTCCTAAAATCCAACTGATGCTCCTTTGATTAAAAACAAAATATCTATCTGATCATAAAGCAGAATAAGAATCTGCTAATTGATTGTGGCATGTCTACCCTTTTTCCCTTGTAAAGGTTCAAACAGACAGCAATGTTTCAAATAGAGGTCTATGTATGACCAAATGGTTGTACAAGAATGTGGGAACTTGTTTCTCGTTCAGTTTTTTTTGTTCCTGGGGAGGTCTAGAGGGAAAGGCGAAGAGCCTAGGTTTTATTCCCCTTTCCAATTCATTCTCACTTCTTCCCTCTCCCTACTTGGTATTTCCCCCACACAGTGCCTGGAATCTTCATAATCAAAACAATTAAAAAGCAGCAATATGTCATAAATCCACTCCTGAAAGGGTTTATAACTACACTAATGGACGTGGGGTTTTTTCCCAGTTTGCTGGGTTTTAATGGTACCATGTTGTAAAAAATACCCACCGACAGACAATCAAATTGTAGAAAAGGCATTATATCCAAGAGTTAGGAACTAACACACTATGTAGTCTACTTACCTTCTTTCTTCTTTCTCTTTCCTTCCTTCTCCCCCCACCCCTCACCCTGTGTTCTCTTGCCAAAGTGTGCTTCACAAATGCACACTGCTTTAAAAAGAACATCCTTATACAAGTGGCTTTACATTTCCTAAAATGCCATAAGAAAATGCAATATCGGGGTACTGTATGGGGAAAAAAGTCCAAGTTTGCATAAAACCAGTACATTTCAGCTTGCAAGTTACTGAACACAATGATGCTATTTTAATTTTGTTGTGCATCAGTTAAAAGTCACAAGAAAATAATGTAGATAGAACAAATTTCAGACAAAGAAAGAAAAAACTTGAATGAAGTGGATTTTACAGAAAGCTTTATGAATTTTGAATGCATTATTTATTTTTTTGTGCCATGCATTTTTTTCTCACCAAATGACCTTACCTGTAATACAGTCTTGTTTGTCTGTTTACAACCATGTATTTATTGCACTGTACATACTGTAATGTTAATTGTAAATTATCAGTTCTTATTAAAACACCATCCTATGACGGGATGGTGTTGATATATTTGGAAACTCTTGGTGAGAGAATGGTGTGTATACATACTCCTTGTACATTTTTCTTTTCTTCTGTAATATAGTCTTGTCACCTTAGAGCTTGTTTATGGAAGATTCAAGAAAACTATAAAATACATAAAGATATATAAATTTAAATAACATAGCTGCAGGTCTTTGGTCCCAGGGCTGTGCCTTAACTTTAACCAATATTTTCTTCTGTTTTGCTGCATTTCAAAGTAAGGTAATGGTGGAGTTAGGGCTGGGCATTTTATATCCAAGCTTTCAACTGATTGGATGTCTGGCAATAGCTGGATTTGACAAAACCACAGACCACCTCCGGAGGGTCTTGTGACCCTTTTGAGATACAAACTCTTAACTACTTGCCATGGGCTGCCCTGCATGGATGATGCCTTTTTGCCAGCTGTGGATCAGGAGCTATTTCAGGTAGTTATTTTTTATTGGTTTTTATTTTCAAACACTACTGGGGAAGCATATTCTTGTTCAGTTATAGAAAGGTGTTTTGCCTTCTACAACTCACAGGAAAATGAACTTGATTTTAAACCGGAGCCATCTTGCTTAATCACCTGCTCACCAGCTTCCTGTCGTGTTAAGAGACTATACACTATGAAAGAGCTCATTTGTTTAACCCTACAATTTTCTCCAACTAACATCAACCAAACTTCCTATGTCTCTATAAACCTATGTATTTAAATGCAAAGTTGTGTATGATACCAGTTCACTTAACATAAAGAATTCACTGTTCTCTAAAATTTGTTTCTGTAAAACATACCCATTTACAATTATTAATTTAAAGTTGCACAATAGCCAGCTCCTGAAAGCTATGAAAAATTCCAGCTGGACATGGAAACCTTGTCCCACTGCTGCCCAGCCCTTGGAATATGCGACTTTTCCGTGAAAGGAGAGATTCTTTTTTTTAGGAAAAATGAGCCTCCCGTTATTTTATTTTTTGACACAAACTGTAGATTTTAGCAGCCCTGGCCCAAAGGAATTTAATTACTTTTGTTTTAAACAGTATAAAGGGGACATTATAATTACAAAATATATCCTTACTGATTTTAGTTGTTTTTTAATTTTATTCCTTTGGATATGTTTTCAGAGTGGTAAATTGTGTGTGAGCATTACAAATGATGATCCTTTTAGTGGTTTCTTAGACTCTCTTACAGCCCATGGGGATAGTACTGTACATCAATACCTTCATATGAAATTTTTATATGCAATGAAAATAAAAGCATGGGTTGATTCTGCCTATTTATGACTTGGTCTTTCACAAATAAAAGATTGTTGGTTTTGAATTGTAATTCAGTCAAAACATATTTCCAACAATAGTGAACATTGTCAAAATGAAAGGAAAATAGTGACATCATAAATTAGTATTGAGATTCATAACCCCAATGAATGTTGACTAATCTTCCAATATAAAAATTATCTGGTATATTGAAAGTTACCAGTCACAGACATTTAACAGTTACTTGTCAGTTATCCATTCTGCACACTACAAGCTTCTAAGGATTCACAGTAAATGAGACACATAGTCTCCTCTCAAGAAGGTTATACTGGAGAGGAAAAGGCATTAACTGCCCAATGCACATGTCCTCAAAATTGTGCCCAATATAATGAAGAAGCTCAGTGTTGTGATCAAGAGGGATCGTGAGCTTGAAGTGTTCCAGAGGGCTCAAGAAGGCTTCCTGGAGAGTGATTTGAGGCTGAAAACTTAAAAGACTAGGAGGTCATCAAGGAAACAGGAGTTGATAGGAAGAGGAAGGGATTCAGCCATGGAAAACATCATTTCCAAAAATCCTGAGATGCAAATGAGTTTGAGACATCTGGAGAAATGGAGTGACAGCAGGAGGGAGGATTGGCAGGGCCCAGGGATGTGAGGCCATTTCTAAGCACCTATGTAATATAACACCCTTGCTTTATCACTGTATCCCCTTAATTTTTATTTATTTTCTTTGTAATGCTTATCAAAAATTGATATGCAAATCTAAATTATTGTCTGTCTTCCTCCCCCATAACACCCCCTGCTTTGCAGGAACATAGCTCCAGGAAAACAAGGTCTTTGCTTACCAGGGTATTATTAGTACTTAAAAGTAGGCCTGAAACACAGTACGTTCTTATTGTGTGTTGAATGTAGCCACTAAGATGCAGTCATCCTTCATTATCCATGCAGGATTGGTTCAAGGATCTCCTGCTGATAACCAAAATCCAAGGATACCCAAGTCCTTTATATAAAATGGTGTAGCATTTGCATAGAACTTGTACACATCCTCCCATATACAATCTATAAATTACTTATAACACCCAATACAATGCAAAAGCTATGCACATAGTTATTACAATGTATTGTGTAAGGAATGATGGTAAGGAAAAAGTCAATAGATTTTCACAATTTTTTCTGAATATTTTTTC